CCATTATTCAGCAGAAGATGTATTCTAGCATATTGTGGAGCTAAATCTATGTGCTTGTGCCATATGCGCTGTAACACTGCAGGACATTTCACATGTAACACTCTGACTAACTCGTCCAAAAAAGTTCAGATACGCAATATTATTCTACTGCTGCTAGTACTTAGTATTTATATTTCAGTTGTGCTCGGAGGCCTCTATCAGTTCAGGGTCTCATGAGAGCGCCATTATTCAGACCCAGAGTAAATAACGGTAGGCTCCCACAAGCCATTAGAAATCATTGTTGTGAGTATGCAGCCTTTTACAAACGCATACATATGGTAGGGCAATCAGAGCATGGGTGCTGAAGTCAGCGGGAGCCTTTCCTTGGATTTCTATGGACTTTCGCTTGTGAAATATGATCTCTACTAATCTTCCACATCTGTTGTTGCATGCTGTTTCCTAGCATGTGACAATAAAAAAGAGCTTTATATCTTTATCGGCATCACTCTCTCCTGAAAACAGCTTTGTTGCTGCCATTGCTACTGCTTAATTTTCTTCGGGGAGGGCTCAGGACTTGTTTACTGACAAACACTCGGGCTAAGTACAGACATTCAAAAAGTCCGAGGCAGAATAGATCCGATCTACACGGCTTTCTGTAAGCTCTGTAGATTGAATGCGAGTGGGACTTGCGTTCACCCTTCAGTTGGGGGAGGCAGGTGTTTGCCTGCAGTGGCTGAGGCCAGAAGGTTGCTGAGGGCAGCCGAGCCTAGCTGAGTGGGAGCTATCTGTGACTGGCTGCCCAGCAGATGCTGACCCCCCTCCCGCCCACCCCAGGCTCACTGCCTCCTAGTAGTGGTAGGAGGGGAATGGCGCCCCACACCATAGCCCCAGACCACCCCCCAAAAATGGGGCCTGCCCAGCAGGGCAGCTATGTGATGGAGGCCTTTCCCCCACTGCTGTTCCCTCCCCCCCACCACCATGAGTTGCTGTCTCTGAGTGGCAGCTGGTTAACCAGCCCAGCTGGTAGGCACAGTTGAAAACCCCCACTGTGTGGACCTCCATAGCTAGGCAGACCTCAGCTTGGGGGGGGAGGGGGGGGCAGTATTATTTGATCATAAAGCCAGGACAAATGTGACTGCTGTCTGTACTGTATGGTGGACAAAGCCTGCGTGTGTCAGCGTACCACTGATTCAATGTATCTTTTTTATATGGGTGTTAACCAAGTCAGTCTATTTTTAAAGCTAACTTCTATAGGTATGTTTATGCTACATGCAAGCAGCACTGCAACTTACACAGACATACCTGAGCTAGCTTTATAATAGCTAGCTTAGGTATCCAGGTTGTAGCCATATTGGTCTAGAGGAAAAAGCATTTGGGACTCATGGTAGAGGTGATAGCTTTTATTAGAAGAACTAAAGTTTGCAAAAAAAATTCTTTAATTGCAAGCTTTCAGGCACAAACACCCTTCATCTGCCATTGGAGAAAAGATTGTAAAAGTTCTCCGGGGTCATGAGAAATGAAAACTCATCTTTCATAGGATTGCACAGAGGAGTCGATAGATGGAATACTCCTCTGGGCAAGCAGTTCTTAGCTAGTAAGGTGTCTCTCAGCTCTCTTGTGAGGCTCTGTGATGATGCAAATTACCTTGAACAAAGACAGGAGCAGCATCTCAGGTTTCAGGTGGTCAAAGTTGCTTCCTCCTTGGGAAATTATTAAGATTTCATTTTAAAAATTGGCTAAAATGTGATACCTTCCATGTGTCAGGTATCCAGGTTGTAGCCGTATTCATCTAGAGTAGAGGTTCTCAAACTGTGGTCCGCACACCACCACTGGTTCACAAGCTCCATTCAGGTGGTCCGCAGAAAGGTGACCAAAGGCTAAAGCTGACAAACATTAAACCTGAATTCCCAGAACTTTGCTAAAAAAAACAGGCACATCCATCGCATTAGAAAGGTAAGACTACTAATAGTAAAATATGAGTTGTGTGCTTTGATTTGTAGAACAAAAAAAGTTTATTAAGTGGTCTGCCAAGACCTTCAGCAATTTTCAAGTGGTCCATGAAAAAAAGTTTGAGAATCTCTGGTCTAGAGGAGAAAGCAATCAGGGCTCGTGGTAAAGGTGATTGATTACCTTTTATTAGACCAACAAGATTTTTGCAAAAAAACCCAATTCTAATCCTATGAAATATTATTTTCTACCCAGAACTTTTACCATTTTTTCTCTGATGCCTGATGAAGGGTGTTTGTGCCTGAAAGCTTGCAAGTAAAGAATTTTTTTTGCAAAAATCTTGTTGGTCTAATAAAAGATATCACCTCTACCACGAGCCCTGTTTGCTTGAATATTGTTGGTAGCTTAGCCATGGTGACATTGAGTCCTGCACAACCTACCAAGAAACTGTATATCCAGAGGTAGCTAGTCTGTGCTGAGCTCCATGAGACTGTGGCTACATTGCAAGCAGGACCTGAGCTAGCTAGTCTAAATCTCTCACTAGCTGCAGTCACTGCAGTGTAGACAACTCTGTTGCACTTAAAAACAGATTTTTAAACCTAGCGCTTTAAGAATTGACACAACACTCAGTTGATTAAAAGCAGAAAGGCTTGCTTTAATAATTAGCACCAAGCTATAAAACTAAGTGACAGAAAAACACTTTTTCAATATAGAATCAGCTGTTACAGAAAGTCCCAGTACATATTTAGCTGCAGTAGTGTTTTCTCACCAATGCAGGCAGGGAAGCAGCCTCTACTTGTGGGCGCTGTGCAGTATGGCTTCTTGATCGTTCCTGGACTGTGCACCTTGCTGGCAGTTTTGTCTTGCTTCTTATACTATTTAATTGTATAGCTTCAAAGCATTTTTTCTTGATGGTTGGCCAGTTAAAGTTCAAACAAAACAGGGAGGAAAAGGGTGACCATTATAACACAGTTGTTAAATTGCCTGGCTCCTGTTTTTGGATTTGTTTAGGTGTGAAGACTTGTATTTCTCGTAGCCCTGAAGTTCTTGGTCAATTAAATGTGATGGGACTTGAGTGGTCAAACAGATTGCTTGGAGGTATTGGTTACCGGACCTGTCTTTGGGTATTTGTTTATCAATGGGGCAAATTTGCAATAGTTTGTACCAGTGATGGTCTGTTTACAAAACTCCAGACATACAATGAATGATAGAGACATTTTTAACACTTTTGATATTGGATGCCTGTTTTGAAAAATATGAAGATATTGCATACAGGACATTTTTCCTGTATTCAGTGCACCTTTTACAGGTTTTGCTTGAAGTGTATATTTAGTCTTCCGTCTTCTTTAGTTGCTAGTTCAATTGAAATGTATATATAGTTTCCTTACCTTCTTTAGTTACACCGGGTTAGCCTTTTTTGCCGACTTTCTTAGCTTGAAGATGCACATGATGAGTGTGTCAGGTCTCTGCCAACAATTTTAACCATCACTAAGTATTTTATGGTATGGGTATGGTGTTGGGTACTGCCGGCTCCTCTCTCTTACTAATGAGTTGCAAGCCATTAGTGGAGTTTGATATTTTTTGTGACAGGCTTGTTACCACAACCCAGTCTTGCCCCAGTCACTGTCTTGCATTTTTGTGCAAGAGACTCTGTCCAAGCTTTCATAGCCAGCAACCCTTTCCACGAGGCATGAATCCAGGGTGTCCTCCAAAAGATAGAACAAGGTTCCTTCACCATAATTGTCACATTCACATTGATTTAAAGAACTACTGTATGCATTGCCTGAGTCCTCCCTGCTACATGCTATTCTGGAGGCAAACTGCAAACATGACCAGGTTTAAACTGGGATGAGACATACCAATATGAGTTATAATGTCACCTGTTGCTGTTATAAAATGAGCAGGATGAACATTCCAAGGGGTATCGGTACTGATGTGTTGTTGCTTACATTCCTCCCCAGCTGGACTTTTACTACAATAGTATACTATTGCAACACTGGCTGCCTTACAGGAGATAATCAGGACTTTCTTTGAATAGTTTAGTGCAGTGCTGCTCAGCCCATGGTCCACAGGACTGTCATCCATCCTGCAGAACTTCCTCTGGGTCTGGAAATTTGGTGGTGGAGTAGCAGTAGCAATATTAATTGCCATGGCTTCCAGACGAGCAGCAATTAGTGCTGCTGCCACTCCCAAGTCACTAAATTTCCAGACCGGTGGAGAGCCCTGCGGTTTGGATAACACAGTCCCATGTGCTAGATGGTGCCATTCTTCAGGATTTCTCTGTGGCTAGATCCAATGTGCAGGCCCAGATCAGTGTGGGGGGTTGCTCCATGGCTGGATGTAGCATGCAGAGTCATGTTGATGCACTAGTTTGCATTTGTGGCCCATCCCTGGGCCGATCCCCAGGCTGGATCCAGTCTACAGACTTTATAGCCAGAAGGTTGAGCACCACTGGTTTAGTGCCAGGAAAAGATTAGTGGGCTAGGTGAAGTACTCGTCTACTCTTGTTTGGTAATTACTTATGTTCTGCTGCCTGCTTTTGTAGACCTAAAGAACTGTTTCTATATCTCATCTCCTAACATAGGAAATATGGTGCTGTAAAGCTTCTCTTTCCAACCTAACGATAGACTATAACTACTTAGGATGCATGTACAAGTGGAGCTCTTGTCTTCCAAAACCTGTCTCCTCCTCTAACTAGTTTTCTTGGACAGGAGAGCCAACTAAAACTCTAATTTGTTCACAGTAAATTTTGGCATTATTTTCTAGAGTATTGCATGGTGGTAGAGGACACTCCTCTTCTGTAATGGCTGTGATACAGGAGGATTCCTCTCAGAACTGTAGGGTTAGCAGCACTCCACAGAAAAATGGACACAGAAAAGTTTTTTGAATAAGCCTGACCCTTACACAGGGTGAGCATTAGACTGTGGTGTTGTATCCCATGTAGAAAAGCAAATGCTGCAATGGAGGGAAGAAGGAGAAGAAAGGATTTTGATAACAACGTTATCTGTGACAGTAAAACAAAAATCCAAAAATAAGCTAACCCTACCTAACCTTGTTCCTTTTCTCTGTTTCAGCCCATCACTTTATTGTAGTCACCGCATGCCATGAAGCAAGCTACAGCCAGCTGATCCAGCAGTATTGCCTTGGGCAATTTAAGTTGGATATGGAAGCAATAGGGCAGAAACTGTGGTGTGACTGGGATGAGACAGTAGAGTAAGTATCTCATTGTTGCTCTCTCTGGTCCTTTCTCAGACTTCCTAAGCTACTTGTGAGATGTTATGTTCAGCCTATTTTAGGATTTTGTACTAATCCCATCACTAGAATATCTGAATCCCACGTATGCAGGTCTGGGTGATTTGGCTGGATCATGCTGCAGTATGATCCAGTACAGCATTTATAAACTGCACTACATGAGATCCTTGGGTCATGATGTCACAGCATTGAGCGAAACAGTGTCACTTAATAGTATTTTACGCTGTTGTTCAGAACAGCACTTCTGAGCTGCCTCATGAGTGACAGCAGAGCACTATGGTATGCTAACAATTATATTAGGTGGTTCTGCGTAACTCATGTCAATACATTGAACTTCGGAGGGTCATCACTTCAGTGCCATGCAATGGGTGCAGCTTGGGTATCTCTGATCAGACTTAGCACCCATCATTGAATACTAGCTGAGCAACTTCCACGATCTAAAGTAATAACAATTTGTCAGTTGATTATTTGTTTTTATAGATAGAATAATATAGCTCGTGTGTGAGTCTGGAATTATTGTTGGGAAACTTGGTCAGAGGTGGGTTTACACTTATTTCTGAGTTTGATGTCAGTTCTTACTCCGTCTGATAAGTTTATCTTGTTTTGATCAGGGGTGAGTCCTCATCCTGGTGCAATATTTGATCTGTTCCTTTGAGGATTCTGACTCTTGCTCTCTGTTGCCTTCCTGGTATATTGATTTTTGAAAAACAGTCACACAGGGAGAGATGGTCTTGCAAATAGTTAGGACCTATTGTGTGCCTGCCTTTGAAAATCAAGATGGCAGCCTCGTACTGGATTCTTGTTCAATCCGGAACCAAGACATAAGGCAGCATATTGGGGTTTTACTCTTCCTGTGATCTATATAACTGAGCCTGTGGGCTGCTGCTTTTTCTACTTACTAGAACTTTCTCATAGCATTTATCATCCCTGACTGTAGGCAGTAGCAACTGCTTGGGGGTTGAAACTGCGTGGAGAGCCATTGCCACACTAGTGGCCAGTGCAATGGGAAGCATCTCCTGGACAGTTGTGCACAAAAGTTTTTCTTTTGCCACTATGGTTAACTGGGGGTCTGAGTGTGAAAGTAATCCTTATGACTGATAACTCATTTAGCAATTTGAAGGCAGATGCTTTTAGTAATTGTGGTCACAAAAGAATCGTCAGATCTCTTCCCTCTGGCATTGCCTTAGTTTTGTCCCAGCTTAGCTTCAGCTAGGTGCCGTGTCCAAAAGCTGATCTCACCATGAAAAGAGTAAGCTAGGAGAAGCTCCTGTTTGAGGTACCCTGCTGCGTGTTTACTCTGTTTTGTTGACCCAGCAGCTCTGGGCTCCCACCAACTCCTTCTAGCTGTTTGCATACATTGAAGAAGTTTGGAGAGAGGAAGGAATCTTCCAGGAGCAGCCTTGCACACAGAAGGACAGTTGCGTACAATGACCCATTGAATTTGATCAGAGGGAAAAGTCTTAGGCCATTTCAGGGTATGTCCATTTCCCTTCCTAGACATGAGACAGGAGAGAGTGGTGAACAAGTGAATAATGCTGGAGGGACCTATGACGACAAGAGAAACACCTCTTTTCATTCCATGTGCTCAAATCTTCATGAAGTCTCCCATTAATTCAGTTGGAGTTGCTATAGGCCTACAAATTCTATTCACAGCTATAGAGGAACAGTGTGATTCTTATGCTGGAGAATGTGAAACCCTATTTTTCCTCTGTCAAAGTATCATTATCAAGTAACATCCTTTAACTTGTCTAAATATGGTGTGTTTATTTGTTTAAGTTACTGACAATATGCTTGGCAAATTTTTAAGACTGCATTAAAGAGAAATCAATGCATTTCTCCAGCAAGTTTTATTTGTTTAGACAGTGAATCTCAAAACCTCTAGAATATCAGTTTGGGGTCCTTCAGAATTCAGCTTTATTAGCAGTCCAGTAATTTTTGATAGGGTGATTTATGAAGAAACATATCATGACATTGCCTAGAATTTCAGTTACAATATCAGCTGACAGAGATTTAAGAGCAAAAAATGGAAATGCAGTGTTTTCCCAAAATACAAACTGTCAATAGTGCCTGTTAAATAATATTAAATTATATTAAATAATATTTTTAAATGATGTTTATGATTTTTTTAGTAATTAATGTAAGTCATTGGAATATTTTTTATATTACATTTGAGTTTTCTGGTAAGCCTTCTGTTTTATTATTGATGCCAGTAAATCAATTATAATTTATAAAATAGTAGAAAGAGATGCCATCTGTTTCACTCCTGGAACATTTTGCTGTGTCCTTTGGTTAATAATAAAATAACCAAAGGACATCTTTAATTCAGGTAGAAATCAAGTATCAGGTAGAAATCAATTCAGGTAGAAATCAATCAATAGAAAGACTAAGAACATTGAATCTGTACAACATACTTCTTTATTTTACAGTAAATACCATGAGCTATTTCTTTAGTTTTACTTCTTTCCTTTCTTAACTAGAATTTCATAGTATAGTGATGGAACAAACCTTTGCAGATGAAATGGTTTTGATACATATACAGACTAGCAAGAATTGGAGGAAACTCAATAGCTGTCTATATATGTGTATACATTTCAAATCTCATATATTTTTCATCTTCTTATTGCCTTGACATATAACAATTTAATTTTGATCATTATTTGGATAATGCTAGCTTTTGGAGGCACCAGAGCCCCTTTGTTCTAGGCACTGGGCATACACATAAAAAAGAAACAGTCTTCAGTCCAGTTCTGAACAGCTTGCTATCTAAATAGGAAAGACAGACGAATCCCAGGAAGAGAAAGGGACTGGAATAGAGAGGAGAAGTGACTTCGTCTAGATAATTGAGATGGTCTGTGGTCCATAATCCAGATTTCATGAATTTCAACTCAGTGCCCTGCCCATTTGGATTATGCTGCTTTTCAGACTTATTCTCAAATGGACTCCAGAATCAATTTGGAATAGATCAAGACGGGTAAATTAAGCTCCTAAATGTGACTTGGGCAAAAAAGAGGTGCCTAACACTGTAAATAGACTGTCACTTGATGTGGACCTGACTGTCTCAGGGTTTGACCCAGTTCAAAATAGGCACAGTACAGTCATTTACACATCACCCTTCCATGATGCATTGCTGCTTCTCTACCACAGCTTGGCCAGATGGTACTAGGAAAAAGGCCAATAACATTCAGACGTCCACAGCCATGTCCCAGGAAAAAGTGTTTTCATATTTTATCCCATATATTTCAGAGGGACTTGAAGTGGGGCAGTGGGCCTGTATGTCTGCAGAATCCTAAGACAAAAGTCTTTCTTCTGGGCCAAATCTATTTATAGCCTAAGGCACAAAAAGCTATCTAGGAAACTCCTGCTTTGGTGGCCTCCAAGTCCCTTAGGTGTCTAAATTCATGTAGTACCCACACATTGGACTGCAAAGATTTCTAGATGCCTTAAACTTAGGCTTCTGCCTAAGGTTGGTTGAGATCCAGAGTGGAGGTGGGATGGTACCTAAATGCCACTCAAAAAAATCACAGCGGGTCAGAATGTTTTTGACACTATGGATTCTTACTTGAAATCTCTTGAATTTATCTTGTGAATCATGGGTATCTGTTTGCACACTTAACAATACTAACATGGAGTAGCACCCTTAAAAAGATCTCTCAGCATGGCAGGGTGCCACAGCACCCTCGTTGAAAATCACTAGCCTAAGCTCTCTCCATTGCAAGTATCTAACTCTTAGCGTGACATTGTCTTTGTAAGACAATTCAGCCTTTCTGTGTTGGGATTCTTGCTCATTGAAGACAGATATATTTTGTAATACATTTTGAACATTTTAACTATTTTTACATGTTGCAAAGAAAACTTGTTAAAGTTTAAAGTAATCTTTTCCTCCCTCACAAAAATTTTAAGTGTTAGGCTTTTAAAACCTGGTTTTTTTTCAGATTTTCTTTTTCTTCCACTTTTATTTTTACCCCCGTTCCCCTTCTTTGGTGGGGAAAATGGGGAAAAAAGCAACAAAAAGAAAATACTAAGGATTTTTAGTTTTGGAGTGTCTTTTCCAAAATAGCAGAAAATTTCAAAACAAAAATGTAATGGTTTTGCAGAGTTTTTAAATTATTATTTATAATCATTTTTATTTTGATCAAAAATAAGTTTAGGACAAAACATTGTAGCCATCTCTAAATTTTCTTAGTGACTTTATGACTTGTCCTATGGGACTGCTCTTTATTGAGGCTTCATTTTTTCTTCTAGATGAGTCCCTAGCAAACAAATATTGGTAATTCTGAGTGCTTATTTGGATGGCATGAGTCCATTCAGTCAGGATAAGCACAGAATTCAACTTCTTTAAGTGCTCAGCAGTTGACAGGGTTATTTAATTCCTAAATCAAGAGAATCCTTAAATCCTCACATGCACTTGGAGGCTCTGAGCAAATCAGAGTTAAAAGCTTAGTTATTGATCAAAAGAAATTGTTCTGCAAGAAACTGATGCTACAACTGGGACACTGCTTTCAGAGTATGGGCTTCCTGAGCGTACCTCAGTCTGTGCATGATGGGCATATTGTACCATGGTAGTTGCTTGTTAATACCTCACTCTTCCAATTTCCTGTGTTTGCTACAGGTCAGCATCAGAGAGTGCAAGTGGCAAAGAGAGTTGATATACATGAATGAAGGAAAG